ATATTGCGGGTAATGGGTGGGCATGGGTTTCTCACTATCCAACCCGAACCCGCCCGATTATACAAATGCATATGTATTTTATCTATAAATAATCATTATTTTTCTCTAACATATTTTATATTTAGCATATAAATATAATATTTTCATGAAATTGTATATTTTTAATTAATTTTCTTCATTCTAGGGAATTATTGTCCTACTTTTCCTCTTACGTAATGTGAGAATTCGTGTGAATGTTAACATATTGGTTTGAGTTATGAAGAGAAATTATTACCCATGGATAACCGTGGATACCCGAAACCCGAATGGGTATGGGCATGGTTTTGATTTTCTACCCGTTTCACATGTGGGTATGGGTATGGGTAAAACCCGAACTACTATGGGTAGGGTGACGGATATGCACTATCCGCGCCCGACCCGACCCGACCCATTGCCATCCCTAGCACGGTACTAAGAAAAAGATATCTTATTTTATATAATTATTATTTTTGTTTATAAATTAATGAAATGTATCCGGCCGGGCCGGTTCTGAATCTAGTAACTACTAGTAAGCGTGTCCACAGCCAAGGGCTAAACGAATGACTATAATGCCAAATGTGGGCATTGGGAGGCTATTTTTCCTCTGATTTGGGTGGAGACCGCCAAGCGCCAAACAGTAAGAACTTCCCAACTGTAACTAAAGTGGAGAGTCTGGAGACCAGTCTGATGTAGGTGTGAGTTCATCTCTTGTATTTCTAGTATGATTTAGTACTTTGTAATATGCTTTGTCGTATTTCTGTTCTGCTTTAACACTTTTCCGGTATGAATGGCCTTATTTATGTTCTGCATCATTCTATTTGTGACTTCAACAAAAAAAATTATTCGCCTAAGCACAATCCATATTTATGAAAACAATACTTATATTAATCGTCATTATCCACTTTTGAAATTAACGAGTTGGGTCGAGTTGTGTTTTGCCCAAACCTTACCCGCTTTACACCCGACTCACACCCATAAAACAAAATAATATCATTTTGTATCTAACCGGAACAATATAGATGTTATTAGCCTTTATGTTTATATAAACCTAATAATATGAATACATTATGGATGTTAGTATTGTTTATAGAGAGGGAAATTTTCGATAACATTACAATATCGATGTTGGAAGAAATAAGATATAATTATGTTCGTGAACCCATGGATACCCATTGAGTTTGGTTGGATTTTAACTTCTAAAACTCAATGGGTATTTTACCGAATTTTTAATGGGTGCACCCTGGTGAGTTGGATTTGAGACCCAACCTGACCCATTATCATCCCTTTCTAGAGGTAGCTGACCTAACCATGCCTCGAGGAAGATCAGTGTTCCCGAGCCCAACGAATGAGAAGCACCCTCAGTTCGACTCTCGCGCAAATTAATTTTCTTGGCTGTCATCACCATTCACCACTAAGGATCACCATGGTGTAGCACTGTAGCCCTCAAACTCGAAATTGATGTGAATGTTTGGCCCTTTTCTTACTTCTCTCAACTCTCAAGGTAGCTCTCTAGCCATGGTGGGTCTCCAGCATCAATATTCCCTAGCCGATGGCACTGGAGGAACCTTGCTTGTGAAGTAACTCATCTGAAAGGATTGGCAGATTTAATGAGCACCCTCAGTCACATTTGAGAGAGGAGAGGTGGAGACATGATAGACATTTTAATTATTTCGGTTTATGTCGGTTTGAATTATTTAGTTCGGGATTATTTTGGGTATTGGGAATATTGTGGGGGATTAATAATTTGGGGGAGTTAGTAGGTAATTGTGTTTTGGGTATTTAGGCTATTGTTTACGTAGAGAATGGTAAGCAAGAATTAAACCTAAAACTACCTCTCTCTCTCCTCTCTTCCTCTTTTCGGCCGAAGCCCTCTTTTCCCCTCTCAAGCTGCCGCACGGCAGCAGCCTTCCCTCCCCTCCTCTCATCCCAAATTCTCCCAAATCACTCTCTCTCAATTCCCCTCAATCCCGGATCAATCCCTAGTTGATCCCCTATCCCCAATTGTTCGATAGCGCTTGACCTAGAGCTCTATCATTTGGTATCAGAGCCCGGTTCTTGGGTTCGATCACAAACAGCGAAAGAAGGGTGCAATGGTGTCCACAAAATCGATGACAGCGGCGGAGAAGGCTGCCAAGGCGGCGGCGCCGGAGCAGGCCTCCACCGCGGTCTCGACCGGGCTGCCGGTAGCTGGCGGCGGCAACCAGGGGGCCACCGATCCGCGGGATGGTGAGCTGGTGGACGAAACTGAAAGGCTGGAGCTGATCCAGTCTACTTTGGATCGCCTGGTAGCCGAGTTCGAGAAGGAGCGCAAGGAATGGCGGGCGCTCCGACAGGAGCAGGGCGAACAGCGGCGGGAACAGGAGGAGGAGTCCCGGCGGGTTTGGAAGCGGTTTGATGAGGTGCAGAGGGTCGTGGAGGCGCTGGCCGCCGCGCAAGCCACTGGGCCGAAGGGTGGTGGCGGCGGCGATGGGAGCGAAAGCCGGAGCGGGCTGGGAGGCTCGACGGCGGATGGAGGCGCGGCGGCGGGTGGCGCGGCAGCGGGGGCGATGGTGGTGGCGGAGGCGCCGCCCCCAACGGCGGCTGTCGAGGTGGTTGACGCGGCGGAGGTGGTGCCCGGGGCCGGGGAGCGAGTGGGCCAGGGTCAGCCAGGGCGCAGCGGTGGGCCTGGGCTTTTACCGACACCAACGGCCCAGGAGTTGGCGGCCCGCAAGGGTAAGGCCAAGATGCCAGGGTACGACAATGGGCCGCCGCCGACTGGGCAGGGGCCGCCTAGGCCAATGGGCCGGAGCGACATAGTGGGCCAGTATCACGAGCCCAGAGGACTGGGGTGGCTGACCATGGATCACGAGCGGATCGAGGAGGAGCTCAGTCTGGTGGGCCAGAACGCGCCATGGGCCGACCCGGCGGGTGGCGGGGACTATTTGGGCCCGGATGTGACAGGGGCCCAGAGCGTGCAGGTTAGGCCGGGCCAGGAGGGCCGATTCGGGCCGGGCCATGAGAGCCGGTTCGGGCCGGGCCAGGAGGGCAGGTTTGGGCCGGGCCAGGAGGGCCGGTTTGGGCCGGGTGGACCGGGGCTGGGTCGAGGAGGCGGCTCGGCTGGTCAGACCGACCCGGGACTGACCGGGTCGGGTCGAGGTGGGTCGGGTCGGGGCGGACCCGAACCGGGTCGAACCGACAGTGGACCGAACCGGTTCGAACCGGGGTTGGTTAGATCGGCCAGCATGGACCCGAACATGTGGCGCGGCTCGCACGATGCAGGGAAGTGGGCAGGACCGATGGGGCGAGGGCCCGCAGGCAGCTTTGGGCGAGGAAGGGGGACTCCGTTCTACCCAGACCAGTCAGGGGGTGCTCCCGGTTATGACAGGTATGGTTCGTATCATCCTGCTTATGATGGAGCTGATGGAATGGTCTTTCGAGCCAAACCCCCGACCATTGAGTTTCCAAAATTCAATGGTCAGGAGGATGCAGGGTTGTGGTTGTATGCAGCAGAGAGGTGGTTCAGAAACCACCCCATTCCAGAGGAGAGGAAGGCGCATCTGGCGTCCTTCTACTTAGAGGGAGAAGCGCTGCAGTGGTGGGAATGGATGGAGAGGTCCTATGGGGCGGTGGGAACTCTGATCACTTGGCCGCTGTTCCAGGAGGAGCTGCGTTATCAGTTTGGAAAATCGGAGGGGTGGGCCCCAGAACAGTTGGCTAAGCTGAAGCAGACTGGCTCTGTTGCGGACTACCGTGCAGAGTTCTTCAAATTGGGCAATCAATGCCATGGGGTCCCGGAGGAGACACTGGTGGGGTTGTGCATGGCAGGCCTGAAGCCGGAGATTGCTGCTGCTGTCCGGATCTTTGAGCCGGATTCCGTGAAATCTGCTTTTCGTCTTGCAGGATTCAAGGAAGAGGAGCTGGCGAGTTGGAGGAGCACCATGGGCCGTAATCCTCGGGCAGGGGGCGCCGGGAGCAGTAGCGGACTCAGCGGTGGAGGAGGAGGAGCGGCTGGGACCGCGGTTGGAGCTGGAGGACCCACGGCGACACAGGCGCCAGTAGCTGTCGTGAAGGGAGGGGCTCGACCCCCGCCCAAGGGGTTTGTGCGACTGTCCCCTGCTGAGATCGAGCAGAAGCGGCGGGAAGGGAAGTGTTTCAACTGCGACGAGAGGTTCACCATTGGCCACAAGTGTGCACGTCCGGACTTGATGATGCTGGTAGGGAGGTGGGAGGACGAGGCGGAAGATGAAGCGAGAGACGGGGAAGACGCAGGAGAAGGCTACCAACCTTGAGGACAAGGTTGTTTTGAAGAGGAAGGGAATGATAGACATTTTAATTATTTCGGTTTATGTCGGTTTGAATTATTTAGTTCGGGATTATTTTGGGTATTGGGAATATTGTGGGGGATTAATAATTTGGGGGAGTTAGTAGGTAATTGTGTTTTGGGTATTTAGGCTATTGTTTACGTAGAGAATGGTAAGCAAGAATTAAACCTAAAACTACCTCTCTCTCTCCTCTCTTCCTCTTTTCGGCCGAAGCCCTCTTTTCCCCTCTCAAGCTGCCGCACGGCAGCAGCCTTCCCTCCCCTCCTCTCATCCCAAATTCTCCCAAATCACTCTCTCTCTCAATTCCCCTCAATCCCGGATCAATCCCTAGTTGATCCCCTATCCCCAATTGTTCGATAGCGCTTGACCTAGAGCTCTATCAAGACAGGATCCCCGTCGATGATTGCAGCAGGATACTGAGCATCACCCAACTTAATTGAACGATCAAAAGCAAGCAATGAGAGACCAATCATGCGATCCACAAATTCTTTAAGGTAGCAGTTCACCTTACAGCAGAAGAATTGTGTCAAGTCAACTGAGATCAGCTTATCTGTCCATTCATTCAGTCACAAAAGAATTGTCATCGGGCAAAGTAACATCCTCAAATAATCAAACAGAGAGCCAGTATAAAATGGTATAGATCTAATTGTCATGTTGTCCAAATTGCCAATACAAGAATTAGGGGGAAAACAACTACCAGTACAAGCAGAAAGACCAATAATGATAATACCAGCCATAAGTATCCAGCAGTTGGGAGAAACACATACTTGTCTAATAGATCAATAGCGCTTGTCATATTTCACAAAGAACAGGTTGTGTACCTTGCAAAGTGATTCAGAACGACCTGTTTCAAGAACTAACAATAGACGGGTGTGACTATTCCTATCTAAATGATCTAAAAAGATGGAAAGGAAACACTAACCAAAATCAGAAACTGTGGCAAAGTTGTCAACGACGACTTTACTGGACATTCAATGGCACTGGTAAGAAGAGATTACGCCTTCCTCAACAAAACAGAGTTTTTCCCCTCCCGTTCTAACTAGTACTTAAATGTGGACAACAAATGTAAGCTACTGTCTGCTTACAGATCATAAACAATAGATGGCTCTTGACAAGAAGACCCTTTAAAAAAGCAATCAATGAGTTCCTTTGGTAGACTATCGGATCCCACGATCAAGCACTCCAATCTCTTAAAGGGGGGTGGCTGTTGTTTCAGAAATTCACAAACATCATCCACTATCTACAGAGAACATAGACAAATTAAAGAGTATGAGAGAATCTTCTCGAAGGAAATAACATGCATTAGGTCAAAGTATTACCTCAACACTAAAGCCATGTAGCTTCAAAGATCTTGCATTATGCACACCATGGAACAAGGAGGTCAAATTTTGTTGCATCTGTGCCTTAAATTTGTCAGAATCATACCCTGGGACTTTGAGCATCCCAATATCTGCATGATCTAGGGAAGGAAGGGTTAACTTGGAGAATCCGAGGGAGTCCAAGTCTTGACGAACGTTCAAGTATGTGAGTTTCGGAGTGAAAATTTCAATCTTGAATTGATCCATGGCATTCAATTCCAGGTTAACCAATTCAGGTCCACATACCCTCAGATTCCCTTCACTTTTTGTGCAAGGAAGGAAGCAGTCAGACAATATCAAATTCCTCAGATAAGGAAAGTTGCAAAAGAGATCAAGATCATCCCCCTGATCAGTATCCAACATGCACGCCCTCACATTCAACGTTGTCAGCATTCGGAAACCAGAATACCCAAATCCACTGTCAAGGGTTACAGATCCTAACTCTAGAGTTTCCAGATGATCACAATTCTTGATTGGTCCAAACAAAAAGGAGAATCTGTGAGTATCATCATGATTGCTGTCATATCCTGTGTCAACCACTAGATGTTGAACCCGATGAGAAAAAGCATATTTGATGACCCTCACCATCATGCTCTCGTGTCTTTGAAACCCATAGCCTACATCATCAATGTAGCTAACCTTGCGGACATTGAGGTCATAGCGGAGTGACAGGACCTTGCACACAAATTTTTCAAGACGCACAAGCCCTCGGAGGGCACTACTACGCAGATCAAGGACAGGGACATGCTTCCACACGCGACTCCATGATCGGGACAACTTAGAGGTCCGAACGGCGGATTTGGTATCGAGGAACGAAAGAATGTGATAAATAATGGGTTCAGGAAGATGGCTTAACCTGTCAGTAGTAGATGAAGTATCTTCCACCTTACGACGCCTTTTCCCAGCTTTCCTCAACCCACAGTTACACCTCCGCTTAACCATAACTTTCTATGTGGATGCAACGCAAGGCAACTACATATGCTTCCAATTCTGGGAACCTATAAGCTTCACCGAAATGAATGGAATCAGTAACTATAACAAGAAAAGGGAAACCATCAAACATCACAAATTTACCTGTCAGTTTCGGAAGACCAGTACAAGGCGATCAAGATACTCTTATCGTCCCACCACCGCTGCAATTCAAACTCTCCGTCGAACTCTGGCCACAATCGGTGATTATTAACTGTTAAGGCAAAAGAAAGACTAGAGAATTTGGCTCCATTTCAAGATTTAGGGTTTCATTTTTGGCGCGGGCACTTGAGAGTTGAGAAGGAAATCGAGAGATGATGTGTTTTGCGGAAAGGGTTAATATCTCTGAAATTGCATCGTATGATATTCCGAAAAATTGAGTGATAGACGGGGTAGGGTATTTAGTATTTACACTTTGTAAAGGGCTGTTTGTTTCATTCTTTTTTTTTTTTTTCGAAATTTGTTACATTCCTTTGAAAATGTGAGTTTTGTAATTTAAAAATCCAAAAAACTGTGGTATTATAGTTTTATAACAATATTTTTTTTATTGAGATGTTTTATCACTAAATCTAAAATTATTTTACTATCATTTCTATTTGTTCGTCATGTTTATATACACAAAACAAGGACAATCGTACTAATAAGTATAATATTGTCACAAGGATAATAATAATAAATGGGGAAATTTTGTTTGACTTTTAATCTAACATATATATAAGTTATTAATTCTTTGTCCTCTTTTTCAAAAGTAACACATAGCAACATATATTAGAACCGAGTGAACAAAAAATTCCACGTTCCATGAAAATGTCAAATGAAACTAGAACACAAGAAAGAGTATAAAAAATCTAACTCATGTTTGCACATTAATTGAATTTATATTATTTCTTTGTTGTAAATTAATTGATTAATTATAATATACAAACCTTGGAATCAATGCAATCAAAATCGCGTTTTAAAACTTAAAAACTTACGGGTTTACACTTCTAGGTCCCCAAAACGCTTTTGTTTCCATATAAAATCTTTAGTGTATAAAATCGGCACTAAAATGCGCTTTAAAGCTTACGCTTTTACGCTTCTGGTTCACCAAAACGCTTTACGCTTTTACGCTTCTAGACCCAATTGGATGTATCCTGGGACACAGGTACTATTTGCGGTTAAAAAAATTGAATCGCTATTTGTCATCCGTGTATTCACTATTTGTCGCCCATATTTTTATAAAAAATGTTTATTTTGCCCTTTAACACTCTAGAAACAAACCGGCTAGATTTTGCTGCAATAGAGAAACAAACTAACCGCCGACCTCACCTTTCTTTTTTTGTTCCGCAAATCCTGACGACAAATCACCCTCACCTTCCTTTTTTCCCGCAATTCCCGGCGATAATTAGCATTCCTCTTTTTTTTGGACGATCCCTCCACCACCTTCATCTGTTTCCCAGGCTCTCAATCTCCTTGTGACGGCTGCGGCGAGGGAATCTCCATGGGAGCGAGACCTTGGAAGGAAATGGGTGGTCCGATTGCGACAATCGGACGGGGATGGGTAGTCGTCGCCGGAGTATGGACGGAGATGGATGGACACGCCTGCGATTGGACGGATGGAGAAGCTGGGTCCGACGACGAAGTTCCGACAGGGTTCGTCCGCCGACGTCGGACGGGGTCTGCACTCTATCGTCGGACGTGGTCCTATCTCCGCCGTCAGACGCACCTCCGATGACTTTATTAAATCGATAATTATATATAATTATAAATCTGATAATTATGCATATTAAAGAGAGTTTTAAATAATTATTAAATCTGATAATTATGGAAAATAACATCTCGCCACCAATCTAATTTGTTTTCTTTAATTAAAACAGAAGACCTTCATTCCACAAACTTTCTTAATTATCCACGTCCAATTAACAATGAATACTTTAATTACATAGAAAAAGAAATTCTATTACCCACGTCCAATTAACAACCCAAGCCATCTTCAACCACATCTCATTATATTAAAAATTCTTTCCTTAATTAATGCACTTTCCTTAATTAATTTAGCGTGTCATTATGAATTACCATTACAGACCGTTTGGTACCCAATGAATCGAGAATTCATTTTATTTTAAAATGAATTACCACGTATAATTCATAGTCAAATTAATTCTTGTGTTTGGTATGTTCTATTCAAATTCTTAGAAATAAAATGAATTCAATTCCCAAGCCATGTTCGGCATAAGTTTAGAATGGAATTAAACTAAAAGTTTCTGACTACACCCTTATTAATTTCTGGCATAAACAATATTCATTAAAATTCATTTTCTAAAAATGTATTTGGTGATTTGGTCTCATAAGTAGAATATCGAAAGTATTCTTGTGTGTTTCTATTCTATTATATTCATTAGTTCTTTTTAAATATTTCATCGATGAACAATACACTCTAGTTGTACCTTCTCAACGTATTGATGCAATCGAAGTAGAAATATCAAATAACCAACATATGCTACTAGCGTTGCAATAAAATTCTTATCGATGTCCTCATACTATTGAGTTAACGCTAAATAATATATGTAGAAGTAATTTAGTTAATAAATGAGGATAATTATGTCATTTTATTATAATTAGTAAATACTTGTGGAATTCATTTGAAAATTTCATCTCAATTCCTCAGAATTGCTATAACTAATTACAATTTCGTAGAATTTAAAATTTAGACATGAAAATAAATTCTTTTAAATACCAAACACAAAATAATTCATTTCAAAATGAATTACTCAAAACTTATGAAATTCATTTATACAAAACGGTATGTTAGTAATACTACTAATACACTTTCATTATTATATTCCCCGTAATCCTTCCCCCGTTATTTAGGTAATAGAATTTACATCGTCATTTACTGTAAATTGGGATGCTTGCCCCAGCCGCCGAAGAGAAAGAAATCGTCGCTTGCCGTCAATGTCAGGCTTTTTATATCTGTCCGCCCTCCTACGTCGGACGTGGTCCGCCGGCCGTGGGCCGCCATGGGACACGGTCCGACTGTCACCATCGAATGGGGTCCATCGGCCGCCGTCGGACTAGCTCTGGTGGTGGTGGTCTGACGCCGATGGCACTGGTGTAATGAGGGTTGGTTTTATTACAAAATAGACGAATGGTAAAAATGACATTGCCACTAAAGTTATGGGCAGCAAATAGTAAATGGGTTAATACCTTATTTTGGCCCGAACTATGATCATATAATCAACTTTGACACGTGGTTCCAGAAATTAACATCATAGCCTCAATTATGCAACATATAGACTCAATTGGGCCAACACATGGTTTGACCGTCAATTTGGACGGTCAACACGCCATGTCATTGCCTTGTCATCCTAAAAAATCATTAAAAAATTTAAATTCAAATTATTTTCCTAATTTTATTACTTATCATTTTCAAATTAAGCAAAAAATAAAATTTTAAAAATATAAAATAATTTGATAATTTTTTGGTTAATTTATAAAATTTATCATTTCCAAATTACCCAAAAATTAAATTTATTTTTGTTTTTTATAATTTTTTGTTAATTTGATAATAAATAATAAAATTAGAAAAATAATTAGAATTAGAATTTTTTAATAATTTTTAGGCTGACGAGGTAATGACATGGCGTGTTGACCATCCAAATTGACGGTCAAACTCTGTGTCGAGCTAATTGAGTCTATATGGTACATAGTTGAGGTCTGGATGTTAATTTCTGAAACCACGGACCAAAATTGATTATATGGTCATAGTTCAGGCTAAAATAAGGTATTAACCCATAGTAAATACCTCGATAGCAAATAACAATCCTAAAAAAAAAATACACCTACATATGTCTACATTAGATATTAAACTCATGATCCCCACGTCATTGCAAAGCCTTCTAAAGCTATACCACAACTCCACAAGCCATTATTAATGAATAAGTCAACATAAAATTAATTTATTACATACTATAAACAAAATTCCTTATCAATTTGATACCTCTCTCTGTCAGTTTATTTACTTTTGAAACTAGTTTTGATTCTACCTGCTGCAATTGCAAATGTAGAAAGAGCATTTTCAGCTTTGAGTTATATCAAGAACAAGTTTCGAAGTCGAATTGGCGACCAGTTTGCTAATGACTATTTAGTTGGATACATTGAAAAAGACTTGCTTAAGAGTGTAGACAACAAATGTAATTTGCGTTCCTTTCAGAATATGAAAACGCGTCATGGTTGTTTATGATAACAATGATTCTATTAGTTGGTTATTTATATGAATGAACTATTAGCATATTATTAGTTTTCGTTATATTTATTAAATAATTAAATAATTATTTAAATATTTATATTTTGAGAAGAGGACACAGATACTTTTAAATCCTGGCTCCACCATTGGCGATCAAGATACTCTTATCGTCCCACCACCGCTGCAATTCATACTCTCCGTCGAACTCTGGCCACAATCGGTGATTAATGATTATTAACTGTTAAGGCCAAAGAGAGACTAGGCAATTTGGCTCCATTTCAAGATTTAGGGTTTCATTTTTGGCGCGGGAGGGAAATCGAGAGATGTGTTTTACGGAAAGGGTTAATATCTCTGAAATTGCATCGAATGATATTCCGAAAACTGTGCTTGAGCTAAGAGGAATCATAGAGAATATCTTGGTAAACTGTGCTCATTTCGTTTATCCAGTAGACTTCGTGGTTCTAGACACAGAGGGGTATGATGCATCCACTATTCTAGGCCGGCCATTCTTGGCCACGACACGGACTATCATTGATGTAAGTGGAAGCAAGATCACCTTACGGTTTGGTGAGGAGGAAATAAGCTACAAGATGACTCCAATCCCGAATTTTCACAAGTATTACAAAAGGGACGATGTCAAGATGGATTGTGAGCCAGTTACACCGCCTACCACACCACTTTCAAGCCCTGAGATAGAATGGTTCAATATGGTCTCCCATGTTGACCCCCACGACAATCAAGTTGAAGGAGTGAGTGATTCTTGCAAGACTATGAAGAAACTGGACAAGGAAAAGTTTTCTTGCAAAAAGGAAAGCCAAGAGTTGTTCAAGGTTCTCATCTTTCCGATGGTCATGGAAGAAAGCTCCAAAGGTTCATCTTTGAAGAGAGGCATCCAAAAAAGGGTAGCCGATTTGTCAAGGGCGACTTAGCTCCTATTCTTGAAAATGTAGAGTTCGGGGGATGCTACAAGCCATTCATGGTTCATCTTTGAAGAGAGGCATCCAAAAAAGGAGCTTAGCCCTCACCAACTTGCAATTCCATTCTCAATTGGATCATTTATATATCAATCACCGAATGCGGCTTCCAAGAGACTCCATTGTCTTCACCTTGGACTTCACTACAAGTATGACTTCT